TTTTTTTTTTTTTTTTTTTTTATTTTTTTTTTTTTTTTTTTTTTTTTTTTTTTTTTTAAAAATAAAAAAAAAAAAAAAAAAAAAAAAAAAACATTTAGTTAGTATTATTTAACTAAATATTTTTTATTTTAAGTTTCCCTTTTTTTTCTTTCTTTTTTTTTTTTTTTTTTTTTAATAATATTTTATAAAATTTATTGAAATAAATTTTAATATCTATAGAATTTATGTATAAATTTTTTTTGTGATTTTTATATATTTTATTTTTTTATTACATGTTATAAATAAATAAAATTTTAAAAATTTTAATATATAAAATATATTATAGTTTTTTTTTTTTAAATGTACTTGGGATTTATAACAAATTAATGATTAATTATGCATTATTTTAACATTTAAAAAAAAAAAAAAAATTGCTTTACATATTTAAAAAACAAAAAGCGTAGAAAACAAATTATAGGATAAATTTTTTTATTATACTTTCCTAATTTTTAATACATTTATATTTTTTTTATAATGTTTATTTTTAACTACATGATATATTTTTATTTTTTTCTCTTTTTATATTTTTATAAGCATACTTTTTTAAATAACTCTACACTATTATGATGGAAAGTAGAGGCCATTTCATTCTTTATTAAACTTTTGCCCTTACGTTTTTAATTTAAAAATATTGAAAATATAAATTCAAGATTAAATTTTTTTTTTTTTTTTTTTTTATTTAAGTTGTTAGAATGAGAATTAATATATTAAACAGAGAATTATTTTATACTTCTATAATTAACTTTAAAAATGGAATTAGAAACTTTTCCTTATTTCAAAATAAACTTCTAAATCTAAAAACAAATGATATAATTTATAGAAATAATATTGATATAGTATCTAAAAAAGATTTTTTTTTTTATACTATTTTAAATGTTGATAGATATAAATATTTTTTGCCATATGTAACTGTAAGCAACTATAATAGAAAAAAAAAAAAAAAAAAAAATTAGTTAAATTTCAAAAAAATATTAATTTAAAATGAAAATAGATAAAATTAAAACTTAATAAATTATTATATATATTAATAACTAATCTCCACTTTAGGATAGTAAAATAACAGAGAAAAATAAAGAATATTTAAAAGCAACATTAGAAATTGAAAATATTTTATTTAAAGAAAAATATGCTTCTTTAATTCATTTTAAATACCCATCAACCATTACGGTAATTTATTTTTTATTTTTTTTTTTTTAATGATATAAATTTGTCTTATTTCTTTTTTCTTTTTAATATTTTTTTATCTATTTTTTTTAGGTTTCCAGTGAAGATACTAAAGTTTTTCACCATTTAGTAAGCTATTTAATAATAAAATAAATTAAAAAATATCATATAATTCACATAACTATTTTTAATTAAAATAACAATATATTTATTAATTTCATGAACAAATATGTATATTTTTTCTTAGTAAATTCAAATGAAATATATTATAATTTTTTTTTTTTTAATATACAAAAATTTATATACCTAAAAATGCTATGATTAACTTTTCATTTTATAGATAACAGAATGGATAATAAATGAAAAAAAAAATTGTATAAACATTGATTTCTATATAAATTTTAGAGTAATATATATATATACATATACTTTTTAACTAAATTAAAATATATAAGTATATACTAATTATTA